TTGGATTTATTTTTATATATTGGATTCTTTATAAAGCAAGATCAGCATAAAAATTTTCGGCAAGTGGCGCAGCACGTAATGTCTTTAGATGATTCGCACCAAGCTTTCATGATCTAGATAAAATAAATAAAAAATATTCAGCAATAAAATATCAACATAAACTTGAAATTTAACTAAATGGATTAGTTCCAGCAAAATTAACTAATCAATCAAGAAAGCATTAGATGAAAGAATAATTAAAACAAAAAAATTATACCAAGAACTTAGAATCAACTTAAGCATAAAATTGTAGATTTATGCACTTTGACAAAGCAGAATTATATAAATGATTCTGTAATTGATTCAGTACTAAAAATATTTATGGCTTATAAAAACCAAACAATCAATTACAATGATTTATTTTGCTTCCAGCACACTTTTATAGTTCTATAATGGACAATAACTTTAGATTAGCATCTAGGCTGTTAAATAATTTTCAAAGTGATGAAACTAAACAAATTTATATTATTTTACACATTAATAACAACCATTGGACAGTTGCAAAACTTGATATGGAATCAAAAAAAGTTTATTATGATGACTCTTTAAAATCCACAGCTCCAAATGATTTAACAAAAACATTGATCTGATTTTTTGTAAATTATAAATTAATTACATTAAAAAGATTTCCCATCAAAATGCAACTTTAGATTGTGGAATAATTGTTTTAAATTATATTGAACAAGAAATTGGGATAAGTAATCAATCATGGAGTATGCAACAATCTGATTATTTTAGAATTAGATATTTATGTGTAACTCTAAATTGCAATTCAGAAGAATTTGGTTTTCCACAAGGTGTTGGAGATAATTTTCCATTACAATCATATTTGGATGAAAATGGCAACAATATTGATTGCAATGATAATAAATAATAAAAATTATGATGGCAATTATGAAGACAACTTTGACCATGATTATGAATATCATGAAGATGATTTTGATTATGAAGATTACTGAGATGATTTTGGTTGCAAAGATGATTTTGATTATGAAAATTATAAAGACTACATTAATTATAATGATGGTGGTGAAACCTCTAATAACCTTTGTTATGATGATTACAATAATTCAGTGGATTCTGTTCAGTATAGATTGAAACCTGATGCAATAAAATCATATTTGTCAAAACATTTGGAATCAATTAATGAGACAGTAAAAGATGTTAAAAAATATGCAAGAGGAGGAGGATTTGATGCAAGCATTGGATCCTCAAGACATTATGATGCTTATTTGAGATGTAACTATTTTAAAAAAAAAGAGAAAGTAGGAAAATCTGGATCCTCTAAATCAGCATATAAACAATCAAAAAAAAAACAAATATCCTTGGCAAGTTAATATCACAAATTCAGCATTTCAAGGAGTCCATATCACAAAATTTGAGAACAACTATAATCATGAAATAACACAGGATGAAATTGAATATTATTCTTACAAAAATATTGATAAAAATGTTTGGGTGGAAATTGAATTTTTTTTTAATCAAAAAATTAAATTACCCCAAATAAAAAATATAATAAAACAAAAGTATCCAAATGAAAGAATAAATCGGATAATTTTGTGCAATCTGTGAAAAGGTATCAAAAATGATGCTGGAAATTTATGCAAAAAACTGACTGATATAAAAAATAATTATCCAGAATGGTTTGTTGAGTTCTATATTGATATACCAGATAAAGACTGCTGTAAATTATGATGATGGTAGTAATTATATTTATGGCATATAGAAAGGGGTCACAATTATCTTTGCAACCGTACTTTTTCCTTTTTTGGATTATGGCACTAGTCTTTAATACCAGAGAATCAAATAGAATTTTTTTTGGATGAGCCCACTCAATTAAAAAACTGGTACAAATACAATGATGTAGTAATAATTGACAGTACATACAAGACAAACAAATTTAATATGATTTTATGTTTTGTCTTTGATGTAAACAACAAAGGACAATCAATAATTTTGTGTCAATCTTTATTTGATAATGAAAGTTAGAAACATTTAACTGGTTCTTCAAGTGCTTAAAATCAGCAAATTCTGATTTCCCAAAGGTGATTATGAGTGATCATGACTTAGCATTAGAATCAGCTATAGAACAACATTTTCCATGAACAAAACATTTTTTGTGTTTATTTCATATTTATCAAAATCTTAATAAAAATGTAAAACCAAAATTAAAAAAAATATATAATGATTTTCTTGTTGATTTTAATAATTTAGATTCCATCTCAATTAATTCATTTGAAATATTGTGGAATCAATTGGTTGAAAAATATTTTAACAATGATGCCAACAATTACTTAAGTCAAAATTTATACATTATAAGAAATAAACAGGGATGTTGTTGGAAAAAGCAAATAATTACAGCTGGTGTTAAAACAACTTTACGTTTAGAAGGGTATCATTTAACAATAAAAAAGACAATTAAATTCCAACTCAAGCCTTGTTGAGGTATTTGAAAAAATAAAAAGTGATATTCAAAAAACTGAAAAAAAGTAAAATCAATAGCTGGTACATGAGCAAAAATGTTAATTGTGGATTTGACAATACTATAATTGATATCTTTGAAGATGTTGTACGTGAAAATGAAATTATGTGAATTCGCAATTCACATACAGTGTGTTTCAAAAAAAACCGGAAAAATTAAATCAATCATTGTGGAACAACCACTGCATTGATTTGTATGAAA